TGGAAAAAACTCTTCTGATGGGCATACTCAAGATGGGGGAGGGGCGATTACGGTGCTGCTCGCAAGCGCTGCCCTAAGCTGATGATGGTACAAGTTTTGTAAATTGTTCATGCCTTTCTTTCCTTCCCTCGTCTCCTCGCCCCCTCCGCTTCACATCCTTTCACTCTCCTCCAAGATACAAGATGTGGCAGTGCCAGTTGAAAACTCGTAGTTCAAAAGGAGAAAATATCAGAGTGAATGAATTTAGGATCTCGAACTTCCTTAGACTTATTAGCTTGTTCCTGGAATATATCAATATGAGTTTTAGTACGATCACCTCTGTATGCATTTTCTGGTGGCGATGTTTGTTTGCGCTGCAAACTGACAGAAGTTCTTGTCAGTTTTGCAAATAATAGCAAAGCATCAGAAATGTGCGATCGGACGGCCTGCAAATTAAAGCAACGAGTTGAGGCACTTTCAGTCAACTTTCACCTAAAAGAGCTTTACTCAACAAGCACCCTCTGGTTCCTACATTTGAAGCAAGTTGTCCAAACGTGCAGATAGCAACTATTTTCTGGATGCATTGTTGGGATTAGTTAACATTAAAATACCAAGTGCTATTTGCTTTTATTTGCGTGAAACAGTTGCTCTGTCAGCTTGAGGAACCATCATTTTTGAGAAATTTATGTCAATTGCACCGAATTTTATTGAAAGCCTGCCATTTGGCAGTAGAGAACCAGCACCACGGCAATTATTAAATATAGTGATGGCTAAAGCAGAAGTGATAGCTAAATATAACATAACTTTACTATAAAAGCAGAATCAAGAAAATACGGTACACCTTTGAGCCGTCCAAGTATTGTAGAAATATTTTCAGTACAACATCAACTGGTCCTATGTACTCTGTGAATATCTGGAACCGCGATATACGGTAGCCGGAGTGGATACACGACATGTGCGCCAGTCAAAGAGTGAGCAAGTGCTGTTCAAATCAACGTTCACAAACAGTACCGAAAGGGCGCAAGAATACTCGTTCAAAACACATCGCTCGACGCGCAGTATCGCCACCATCTGTATCGGTTCGTTGCACCGTCCACAATGGCTCCAAAATCATGAACTTTTTGAGCGAAATTTTTCCAGGGAAGCAACATTTTTTGGTAACAGCGGGGTGGTCCATTATGAATATAGGAAAGGAGATGCGGGAGCACAAGAAGGGAGGGCCATATCAGCAAATAATTTTATTATGTAATTAATATTTTCAAAACTACCTGGAACTATAATCTTGGGGTTGAATGAATGGGGCTGGATGAGATAAACCCTATGCGTGGGATCAGCTCAGTAACTTTACTGAAGTATGACCTCTATACTGATTGTCTGGATGGCGTTGGTAATTTGATTCTTAGAATAAAATGTCGGAAAAGACCATGGACAAAAATATCTCAGCCACATTTAGGATAACTCAGAAGACAGAACAAGAGGGGGTTTAAACTGATCTCAGATTCTTGGTCCCGTAAATGATTGACATCAGTGTTTTCAAAATTCAGTTTCCTAGCTTTCGCTGTTTTTGAGCTAAATCGGATTTATGTGGGAAAATTTGGAAAGGAAAAGCAACATTACAGAGAAGGGGGTATGTCGTGGGATGGACATGCAGCTAAAGCTGAAAACTCCTTGTGAAATTGTGGAAGCAAACGCTGGCTTCCACAACGAGATCAGCGTAATGCATATTGGGGAAAACACCGTTGAAGAGGAGCTCTCTTGGGGTGTCGATAGCACGATAAATGTACCTCCATTTTGTGAAACTGTCGCTGAATTGATCATTCTTGAAGACCATCAGACAAGGTTACACTTTTGTTTTCATTTTTGAGTGACGCAGTTTCAGTGCACCTAGCCTATTCTGCTTGGACCTCTCGATGTCTTTCGTCATTCTCTTCCCACGTTCCAGGAATTTTATGGGAATGCAAAAACTGAATCTGCTGCAAACTAACTTCAGGCGCGATGCAAAGACTGGTTTCTTTCATTATGCGTTTTTTGCAGCAATGCAATGCAAAAAACGCATATTGACGAGAGGTTGTCTGTGTG